TAATACTTAGTACACTTAAAGTGTACTTTCACAAATGTAAGTATGTTTGAAATATACTTAAGTATACTTTTTTTCACCTGGGAATAAAGGAAGTAGTTTGCACAAGGTATTTGTGCAACTTTATTTTTTTGCAGCCGAAAAACAAGTTTAGTTCAAATTCAAAGTATGTGATTGAGCAATGGTGCACAGCTTTGAAATCCATAAATTCATTCAACAAACCCATCAAATTGAGAACAGTGCACCTTTTGACTTTTCCTGTACTCAGAAAATTATCACCATGATTCTGAAAGCATCCTAAAAGCTGTTGTAGTTAAAAACTCCCCTGCAGCAGATGGGAAGTCTAAATATATTGAGTAAACCTGCAATCAAAGCAACTGCAGTTTTTAAAACTCCAGTAATGGGAAGGAAACACGTAAGCAGCTATAAAGAAGAAGTATTCTGGGAACTTCTCTTTTTTTCCACAAGATAGAAGATTTCCTGGTTATAGTTGTTCAGCAGGTTGAGATGTGAGGATGGGACACGCTTGGCTTCACTTGCTGTTCTGTAAGTAAATGTATTAACTTTAAAAATAGATGATTAGTTAAACTAACGTTTTCTTAAAATGGCTGCTTGTCTCTAAATAAAGAGATAATTTAAGTATCAGCTATATTGTTGTATTAAATTATTTCAGAAATGTTTTTAAATGCCAGTTTTTTCTGTTATTGTGATTGTCTTTCTTCCTGATTGATCCATTTTTCTAACTTTTTCATAAATCTGTTTGTTTTATTTAGTGTTCAGTTCAGTCATCAGTGGATACACCAAAGGTGAGACACATTTCCTGATTATATCGTCTTGATTTTTCGTGTCTAATAGCCTGTATTAGGTGGCCCAGGACTCCTTCCTGCCAGAGTGGAGCGCCGGACTTAACAACTTGTGACTTTTATCTGTGGGGCAGTTTGAAGGGAAAGGTGTACGCTAATAACCCGAGAGCTTTACAGCAGTTGAAAGACAATATTCGTAATCCAATTCAGAGCATTGGGCCCCAGAGTTGCGTCATGTATATGACAATATGTTAAGGCGTGCCCAAAACTGCATTGACGCACAAGGTGATCATTTCCAGCAATTTCTGTAAAGATTTTGGCATTTCAAGTTCTTTCTTTCTTTACGGAAGGCCGCCAGTAATACTATAGTAACACGGGCTACTTTTTTGTGGGCCACCCTGTGTTTATTTGTACAGTATCTCTCGAACTGTTGGTGGAAATTTAAAACTTCTCCTTCTGTTAATAGCAGAAACAAGAAGCTGTTTATGTAGAAAGAGCGCAAGACAGCAATTTCACCCGTTAACCCACAAAGCTCGGACGAAAGAGCCACTATGACGAGACCAGTGTCGTTAGGAAACCTTAAAATGTTGCTAGAGTGAATCAGAAGCTACAATATATTTCATTTTCTTTTATCTTCATCATTTATCAGTAAGAACAATTGTTGGGTTTTCTGACTGAGAGTAACACCAAAGTTCTCCAAAGATCTGGAGACGAAACAAGCCGACAGGACCAAAGATCGTCCACTGTACTGGCGTTAGCTGCTGACCTTTTAACCCTTTCACACCTCTCAGCTGCTACATGTTTGTGCTGCTTGTTTCACATCCAACCACCCAGGATTTTTATTTCCAGGTTTATTTGGGAATAAAACTCCAATTTAATAAGACGAGAGCAAAAGCTGCTCGATATTAGCCTGAAAGTTTAGCCA